TATCGACGCCTACATCTCGGAAATGAGTGCACTTTCGGGCGATTCCTATACTAAACGTGTAGTGAATTCACGCGAAACACTGGTAATGGAGGCAAAAGTGTTTGCTTTGGTCTCGTTGTGTAAAATTATTTTCTGGTCCCTAAGGATTGGAATTAATGAAAACCCGGAGTATTTGGTGAATAATTTTTAAGCTCTTTTACCTTTGATTTTATTTACGTTTTACTCATTTATTTGTTTGATTTCATAGCAAAAAGCAGATGCGAAATATAAAGTGTACAAAAATCTTAAGAATCGTATACTTCATGATTATCCTGATATAATTAAAAATAAATAAATTTCTAAACATTTTAATTGTTCATGTAAAGTTTGCAAATAAAAATTATTATAAACATTAACATTTCTAAACAATAATGACTTTTTCATAAATATTTCAGAATTAATTATATGATTGAATAAATAAAATATTTTAAATTGATATGTTTGATATAATGAACACTTAACGTATTGAAACTTGTATATGAATCCCAGAGACTCGAAGTGACTCTTCTCTCAATTCAAATACAGATTGTATTATAAAGTGTTTAAACTTAAGTCACATTGCATTTACCAAGTTCACAATGTATTAGCTATGTGACTTAAGTTTACACACTTTATAATACAATCTTTATTTGAATTGTGTGTGGAACCGGGATAGTTTATTAAATAATAAAATAAATGTTATTTTATAAAATTCTAGTCAAGAATGAATCCGAAATTTCTATTATAATTTGTTTCCACTGATATGTATTATATCATTAACAATCATTTTTAATTAACTAATTTAAGTAAATATGTTTTTTTATTTTCTTAATAACCACTATCCCGGTTCCACACACAAGCTTACAGATTCATAAGTTCAGCAAGATTATACTCTAATGCGTGCATGTGTATTTAATTTATTAAGCTTTTACTTTGCAGTACATGTTTCATGTAATATTAGTTCATTATAATTATAAATCTAATAAATCTGTACTTTCATAATACAACACATTAGCTTGATTAATAATAAGGTGTGGTTTAATGAAAATTGGTTTACATGTACCGCAAGTGATGTTTATTACCGTATATAATATATATATATATAATATATATATATATAATATATACTATCATACAAATTAATCACTAGTTTTAAAAGATATTTAAAGTACTCGTCATACTTTATTATCAATTATATATAGTATTGTCATAATATTTATTATAAAATTCCAAAGGTATATAATAAGAGGAATATATTTTCTTTTATAAATTAATATTAATTAATTATTTACTGTTGATGAAACATACTACTAGTTTATAATTTTAGTTAAAACATTAAAAAACATGAAAAGTTTATTTTAAAATTCAATTCAATGGATAGCAATGTATCGGTTGAGGATCGGCTAAAAGTGTATGAATTATGTAAAACACATTTAGGCGGCCATTGGAGTGATGTTAGTGCCGATCAACTGGTCATCAAACCCACGACGTAAGTCTCATATAAACTATACTGGTTAATTTAATAATTCCCAAAATTAATTTAGGGGTGGTTTTGTGAATAAACTGTTTTGTTGTTATTTAACCAATGTGGAAACAAAACCTAAAAAACTATTAATCAGATATATGAGCGATGATTTTGTAGAAATATGGGGCATAACTCAGCAAACAGCTATCAATATAGTAATGTCCGAGATTAATATATCGCCCAAAATATATACAATGTTTGAAAATGGGTTCATCAGTGAGTATATTGATGTAAGAATTATATTTATTTATAATGAATAGAATATTGTGTTATAATTATTATATATTTCATATTCAGTGTCATTATTTCAATGCCGACGACGACCTCAACCCTATTGCCGTCAAACTGTTGGCCCAAAAGGTGGCAAAAATACACTCAAAATACATACCGATTGCCAGAAACGGCACACAAAAGACAATGAAAATAGTTTTCGAGGACTGGTTTGATAGCCACCGGATTGAGTCCTACAGACAGGGAGTCATACGTAAAGAGATAGAGAAACAAAAGTGTGAAACACTTATGGAAAT